ATGGTGAAAACTATCCCAAAATGCACATAGTAAAACTATCTCCAGGGCACATAGGTACACTCCAACAGTACACATAGTATACACTATCAACAGTGCAAATAGTTACACAACAAAAACAGTGCACATAGTGTACAAATATCATCAGTGCACAGTGTCCCCAAATATCATTTTGTGGGACTTTTATACACTATCATAAATGGTACATAGGTACACTATCATAAAAGTTTCATTAGTGTACACTGTCCCTACAGTGGCACATAGTGTACCCCATACAGTGCACATGTGAAAACTATCCCTGCATGCACCGTGGGATCCCAAACAGTGCACATAAGATAAACTATCAACCAGTAACCCCCAGTGTACACTAAACATTCAGGGCACATAGTATACACTATCATACCCGGGGTTTCATAGTGGGACCTTCCTACAGTGCACATAGTTACATTAAACATAAGGTGCACCCTACTGTTTCACTATCCCTACATGGGAAAATAGTAAACACTCATGCAAACGCACATAGTTACCCCATCAACAGTGTAAACACATAGTGTACACTTCATTTAGAGCACATAGTGAAAACTAATCATAAAAGTCCCCATAGAAAATACCCATCATCCAGTTCAATAGTGACATTATCAAAAGTGCACATAGTGTACACCTTTTTATACAGTGCAAAATAGTGTAAAACCACCATAAAGTGCACATAGTGAAAACTATCAAAACCCTGCACATAAAGGAAAAAAACATCATCCAGTACACATAAGGTACACTATCACCAGTGCAAAAAAGTGAACACTATCATTCAGGCACATAGTAAACCTATCCTACTGAACAAAAGGTCACTATCATACAGTGCTTTTAGTGTACACTGTCATAAAAGTGCCATAGTTTTACACTCCTACAGTGCACAAAGTGTACACTATCATGCAGTGGGACAGTGTATACTCTTTCAGTTTCACATAAAAATAAACTATCATCCCGTACACCTTTTAAAACTATCAATTTAGTGCCAAAGTATAAAACTAACATACGGTGTAAAATAGTGTACACTACAAACAGTGCACATATTTTACATTATCATAAGGGCAATACTGTAAAACAAATACAGTGCACATAGTATACACCATGCAGCGCCAAGTGTACACTAACATTCAGTGCACTAGTGTACACTAACATTTTAGTGCACCAAATGTACACTATCCTACGTGCACCCCCAAAAAATACTTAAACATCCAGTTCACATAGTTAAAAATATCTACCGTGCACAAGTGTACACTTTCCTAAAAGCGCAAAAAAGTTACCCCCCCATAAAGGCACATATGGAAAATTATCATACACTGCAACAAAAGGGACACTATCACCAGAACACATAGTGTACACTACATTCAAATGCACAAATTTTACACTAAACATACGGGGGTACAAATTGGGACACTATCAACAGTGCACATAGTGTACACTGTCCAAGAGTGCACAGTGTATACTCATACAGTGCAAAATTGTGTACATTAACAAAAAGGGGCCCATAGTGTAAAATTCCCCTAAAAGTTGGGCCCAAATGGGGCAATTTTCAAACAGTGCACATAGTTTACATAACATACAGGCACTAGGTTTCCTCATACAGTGGGACATAGTTACACCCACTTTCCCTGGGACATAGTGTATATTTTCATATTTAACCCATTGTACATTAAACAAAAAGTGCAAAAGGGATACATTTTTCATACTGCACTTTGTAAAACACTCATGAAAATTAAACAGTTCACATAGTGTAAAAACTCATTGTTTTAAAATTTTAGTGTACACTCCCGTTACTTAAAAGGCTCATAGTGTACACACATTAAAAGTGTTCATAGTACACTCAGTGTACAAAAACAGTGCTCATAGTGTAAACTACATTAAAGTGTACATAAATGTCCCCTCAGTACATTTTACAAATGGGACATGTTTTAAAACTCCCTTTTATATTCTAGTGTACACTCATGTAAAATTTAAAAAGTCTCATAGTGTACAATTTTAGTGGGTCACAAAGTGTACACTCAGTTACCTTTTCATTCATGCACTTTACATTCATCAAAGTGTCCATTACATCATTCAAACACAGTGCAAAAAATACATTGAAAAAAAAATGATCCCAACCCCAGTGCACATCGTGTAAAGAAATTTAAATCGAGGGAACCCTCGAAATGGGGCTCACAATTTGACCCGTTTTCTTTCAGAAATTACAAATTGAAATAAATGATAAGTTAAGAAAGCAAAATTCCGACTGCTTCAAACTTTAAGTGCCCCGGGATAATTTTTGGGGAAAATTTGTTTCCCTTTGCAGTAAATTTTGGTAGGGTTTTTTCCCCGAGGGGCCCTTTTTTAATTTTTAAAGCTTGTATATTGGTAAACTTAAATTTAAAAATTCAAACTGGGGCTGTTTTGGGTGCCAGTTTTCATTTTTAATTTTAAGACATTTTTTTTGTCCTTTCCATGTGAAAACTTCTGACTGGGTTCATTCTTTTATGCAATATTTAGCTGCATAGCACTATACCGCACTCTGTACTATTGTTTTTTGCTTGCACTGAAGGGATTGGGGACGGGGGACGGGCTTATGAACCCCGGGGATACCTTTCTGGGATTCTCACTGAAAAGATTTTCTCGTTTCTTTTTATTTGAAGCACAAAACCTGATGGGTTCCCTTCAGCGCTAAAAATAAATAAAAAAAAAATAAAATTTGGGGGATGGGTTAAAACTTCCGAGGGCTTTGTGAGACAGACCCAAACCCTTCAGAACCACTTATAACCACCAGAGAGTTAACGACCCAGGGTTTAAAAAACCAAAATATGTGGCCCGGGGCAAAAGGGTCTCGCTTCACACGGTGAGGGTTGGGTTTTATTTCCCGGGGGAAGGGGGGGAAACATTGGGGGGTGTTTTTCCCTTTCACCCGGGTTTTCCATGTTCACCCAACAGTAAAAATGGGTACCTGGGGTGTTTGTGGGCTGGGGTGATTTGCATCCCGGGACAAAATTTACCTAATATTTCCAGAAATGATCAGCATAACCAAACGGATTTCTATATAGTGTATCATTGAAGTCCCGCTAGACCTGTATACCTTGTACATGTACTGGGAGAAATAAAAATTATATTATATTTTAAAAAAATCAAAAAAAATTGATGAAAACAATAGAAACTTCAACTCTATCAGATGTGAAGAATAAAAGAAGGGTTTTTTAACAGTTTTTTTGATGGGGTTTCCAAAAAATGTAAAAATTTTAAAACATGGTTCCCCCCTTTAAAAATTTAAAAAAATTCCCCTTAAAAGGGATTGAGTTATTTTTTTTCAAAAAACCCAAAAGGAAATTTTTTTTTAAAGAGTTGGACTATTTAATTTAAACAAGGAAAAAATTTTTTAAAATTTTTGGCATTTTAAAAAAAATCATTCAACAAAATATCCTGTAAACCCCTTAAACTCTGTTGTCAAGGGTTTTGTTAAACCCCCCCTTAATAAAGTAAGAAAATACGAAACGCTTGGAAAATTTTCCCATTCTTTTTTTCAGTGATTTTTCACATACAACCTTTCCTCCCCCCCCCCCTCACAGGGGCTGTATAATCCCCAACTTTTAAACGCTTCCCCCGGAATTTTTAATAATAACGTTCTGCCCTTATTAAAATATAAAATATATAAATATAAATATCCCTTTGGGCTGTCCCCAAACCCCCCCAAACCTGGGGTGTCTCCTGGGTACAAAATTTAAAAAAAAAATTATTTTTTTTTATGAAATATAGAGAATCTTTTCCCGATTGAATAACACCCCAAAAAAAAGAAATTTGATGGAAAAATTTACGGAATAATGCTTTACGCGAATTAGCCAAACCCGACGCTGTTTGCAAACGGCGAATTTCCCCCCCTATGAGCCCTAATTTCGGCTAATTCCATTGTTCCAGTCGCCCAAACTCATAGCTATTTCTTTAGAACTCCATTTCAACTACCTAATAATGTGGTCAGAAATTAGCAATTTGGCCAATTTCACGAAAACTAAAAAATATGACAATTTCAAAATAAGGTCCAGAATGAACAATGCAGATATTCCTGGCTCTAAAATAACATTTTCTATGTTCATCCGTCATGTCTCCAGGCCCCTCTGATATTACTCTTGCTTTCTATTTTGAATTTTTATTCAAACAAAAAATAGAAGACTTACTATTATGCAGACTACTGCAATACTGTAATAATTGCATAAATAACATCAACCCATTCATGACTGCATTATATATATATATATTATATATATATATATATAATATATATATATATAATATATATATATAGAATATATAATATATATATATAATATATATATATATTGATATATATATATATAAATAGAAAATTAGACACATGTGAAACTCTTGGGTATCTTTATTGAGGAAACGTTTCGCCACACAGTGGCTTCATCAGTCCATACAAAGGAGAATCTTGAAGAACAGGAGGAGAATGAGGTAATCAGTCCCTCAACCTTGAGTCGATGTGGTCAGTCCATCAATCTTGAGTAGAATACGACATACGTGCGGAGAAGGAGCTTATAAACCGTTGGTAGGAGAGGTGCAGCAGTCATAAGCGGTGTCACATTTGTTAAATGTGGAAGTAGGTCGTGCCCACATTGAACAAATGTGACACCGCCTATGACTGCTGCACCTCTCCTACCAACGGTTTATAAGCTCCTTCTCCGCACGTATGTCGTATTCTACTCAAGATTGATGGACTGACCACATCGACTCAAGGTTGAGGGACTGATTACCTCATTCTCCTCCTGTTCTTCAAGATTCTCCTTTGTATGGACTGATGAAGCCACTGTGTGGCGAAACGTTTCCTCAATAAAGATACCCAAGAGTTGCACATGTGTCTAATTTATCAATATGTCGGTTCTCTGAACCATTCATCTATCTATCTATATATATATATATATATATATATATATATATAATAAACAATTAAAATCTGACCTTAAAAACAGGACCGTCTGTGGCTGAGATACACACCAGACAACTTACCTCCTCTCCTACACCGTGTCCAGGAAGGAAGCAACAGGCTCATACAGTATGTCGCTGTCGAGGTGAGAAGTCTTTGTTTATATATATGTCGTGCCGAATAGGTAAAACTTGCAATATTGGCTTAAATAGCAACGCTCTTCTTTCCGAATAAGGCAAGCGAAAATTTGTGTATGCAATAATTTCGGAAAAATCATCTGAACCTAGCAATATATATAATATATATATATATATATATATATATAATTATATATTATATATTTATATATATATATATATATATATATATATATATATAAAGCAAAAGGACACAAGTGCAACTAATGTGACATTTATTGTGGCAACGTTTCGCTCTCCAGGAGATTTATCAAGCCATTACAAACAATACATGGACACAGAGGGTATATAAAGGCTCAGAGTGAGGTGCAGTACTAGTGAGGTACCATTTCGATGTTCACTAGTGGTAGTGGTAGTAGTAGTAGTAGTAGTAGTAGTAGTAGTGGTAGTGACAAAAGTAATACAATTTGGTAGAGCAAATAATTCGTACATGAGTAAAAGGATATAAAAGCTATTACTTGGGTAACATAAAAATAGGTTGGACAAATATAAACTGGAAAGAGGCAGCTTGTTTCAGTGTTCACTCTCTGTGCTTTGTGTAGTATAACAGGAGAGACTATGTGATGGCAGGGTTTACTGTTTTCAGGAGGATTCTTGCTAAGACTTCGGAGATGGTGAAGCTGCCGTTGTTTTGTTTAATTGTATTCGAAACAGCGATCAGTGCTGATTCGAGGCACTTGCGTCTGCGGAAATTAGTTTCTTTGATCACTAATTGGGGGTCTCTGAATTTCATGAGATGATTGGTGGAATTTCAGTGTTGTACACAGGCGTTGTTCAAGTTATCGTTCCTACATGCGTAAATGTGTTCATTGAGGCGGGTGTCGAGGTTTCTGGCTGTTTCACCTACGTAAATCTTGTCACAGCCACCACAGGGTATAGTGTAAACTCCTGCATTGACTGGTTCGTGGTGCTTGGATTTTGTCCTGGTTATATCCTTTATTGAAGTGCTAGAAGCGATGGCGACTCTGGTGTTAGGCTTGTGAAAGTACTTTTGAGACGTTAAATTGCAACCTGGCTGTTGGGAAGAATTATAACTTTGCTGGGAGTGGTGTTGATGCGTGGAGAATTTATGATCTGAAGAGCTCTTTTCTTGTGTACGAATGGTATACAATACCGACAAGATGAGATTAAGACACATGTGCAACATCTGGATATCTTTATTGTAGACGTTTCGCCATCCAGTGGCTTTATCAATACAAATTCTAGGACATAACTTGAAGACAGTAGAACTATTTACAGAAGATGAGGTAATCAGTCCCTCAACCTAGGAGTAGGTGCGAAGAGCACCATAGTCGTGGAGATTCTGAAGCAGAAGAAAGGATCCTGGCGCTTATTTAGTAACGTCAGGTGTAGCAGACGAGGGCATATTCACTGGTAGGCGGGATTCCCCAGTGGAAGTAGGTCCTTCCCAAAGGAGGGGTTAGTGTGTAGTAGTAGTTGTCGTAGTCGTGAAGGTTATGTACATGTCCTCAGAATTAAGATTCCATGATGTTGCAGTGTCTGACAAGTTGTGTACGAATGGTATACAATACCGACAAGATGAGATTAAGACACATGTGCAACATCTGGGTATCTTTATTGTAGACGTTTCGCCATCCAGTGGCTTTATCAATACAAATTCTAGGACATAACTTGAAGACAGTAAAAAACTATGTACAGAAGATGAGGTAATCAGTCCCTCAACCTAGGAGTAGGTGCGAAGAGCACCATAGTCGTGGAGATTCTGAAGCAGAAGAAAGAATCCTGGTGCTTATATAGTAACGTCAGGTGTAGCAGACGAGGGCATATTCACTGGTAGGCGGGATTCCCCAGTGGAAGTAGGTCCTTCCCAAAGAGATGGGTTAGTTGTAGTAGTAGTTGTCGTAGTCGTGAAGGTTATGTACATGTCCTCAGAATTAAGATTCCATGATGTTGCAGTGTCTGACAAGTTGTGTACGAATGGTATACGAATGCTACACCTGACGTTACTATATAAGCGCCAGGATCCTTTCTTCTGCTTCAGAATCTCCACGACTATGGTGCTCTTCGCACCTACTCCTAGGTTGAGGGACTGATTACCTCATCTTCTGTACATAGTTCTACTGTCTTCAAGTTATGTCCTAGAATTTGTATTGATAAAGCCACTGGATGGCGAAACGTCTACAATAAAGATACCCAGATGTTGCACGTGTGTCTTAATCTCAGCTCTTTTCTTGCAGTCTATGATGAAAAAAGAAGGAAAATGTAAGTCAGTGAATGTTTGGTGAATGTATGTACACTCCTCGTCAAGAAACTCAGGACTCTAAATGGTCTAAAGCCAGCAGCAAACAACAAAATACCTTTCATCCGTGGACTGCTTGCAGAGGCAAAGGCAATGTTCTCGGCTTTCACTGAGACCCACATAAAGGATCACTTGGACAACGAAATATGGATCCCAGGTTACAACCTATACAGATGTGACAGAGTGAACAGGCAAAGGGGGGGGTTGGCCTGTACATTGCAGAGTCACTTGTTTGCACAGAACTGCTTAATGCCTCAAATGATGTAGTGGAAGTTTTAGCAGTAAAGGTCGAGAACCAAAACCTAGTCATTGTGGTAGTCTACAAGCCTTTCCCGGATGCAACATCCCAGCAATTCCAGGAACAGCTGTTAAAAATTGACCACTGTCTGGAAAATCTTCCAGCTCCTGCACCCAAAAATCTTGCTCCCGGGGGATTTCAACTTAAGGCACCTAAAATGGAGGATATAGCAAATAATATTGTTGCAGTAATAACACCAGGAGGCAGCTCTGATGAAAACTCACACTCACACGAGCTTTTAAATCTCTGCACAAAATTCAATTTAAACCAGCAAATAATAGAGCCTACTAGACTGGCGAATACACAGACCTTATCTTCACTAACAATGATGATCTGATAAGAAATGTCACCATATCAAAAAACAATATACTCAGATCACAAAATAATTAGGTTCAGACATGTATGCGTTGAGCCCTAGACCGACATAATGAGACTAGTCACGAGGGAGCATTCACCAAATTCAACTTCAATAACAAAAACATAAAGTGGGACCGTAAACCCAAAGTCCTAACCGATATAAGTGGGAAGATATACTAAGCAACAAAAGCCCCCAACTTATGCCCTAGAACAGATTAACTCGGTGGCACTCGATGTATGCACAAGGCTTATTCCTCTAAGAAAAAGGAGGAGTAGATGTAAAATAGAAAGAGACAGGCGCTCCCTTTACGGGCGACGGAAAAGAATAACAGAGCGGCTAAAAGAGGTCAATATATCTGAAATGCGTAGGGAGACACTGGTCAGAGAAATAGCAAGCATCGAACTTAAGCTAAAGAATCCTTTAGGAGTCAGGAATCGCGGAAGAACTAAAAGCCATAAATGAAATCGAAAGAACCCAAAGTATTTCTTCTCCTATGCCAAATCAAATCGAGAACAAAAGTCCAGTATTTTGGGGCCCCCACTTAAACAGATGGGTCCTACACAATGACAGCAAGGAAATGAGTGAGTACTCAAGTCCCAATATGACTCAGTTTTTTAGCAAGCCGCTAACCAGACTGAGAGTCGAAGATCAAAATGAATTTTTTATGAAAAGAGGCACAAAATTTGATTAACACAAGCCTATCCCATGTTATCCTGACGCCAAATGACTTCGAACAGGCGATAAAGACATGCCATGCACTCTGCCCGGGCCAGACTCATGGAACTCTGTGTTCATCAAGAACTGCAAGAAGCCCCTATCACGAGCCTTTTCCATCCTATGGAGAGGGGGCATGGACACGGGGGTCGTCCCACAGTTACTAAAAACAACAGACATAGCTCCACTCCACAAGGGGGCAGTAAAGCAACAGCAAAGAACTACAGACCAATAGCACTAACAATCCCATATCATAAAAATCTTTGAAAGGGTCCTAAGAAGCAAGATCACCACCCATCTAGAAACCCATCAGTTACACAACCCAGGGCAACATGGGTTTTTAGAACAGGTCGCTCCTGTCTGTTTCAACTATTGATCACTACGACAAGGTCCTAAATGCACTAGAAGACAAAAAGAATGCAGTGTAATATATACAGACTTTGCAAAAGCCTTCGACAAGTGTGACCATGGCGTAATAGCACACAAAATGCGTGCTAAAGGAATAACAGGAAAAGTCGGTCGATGGATCTATAATTTCCTCACTAACAGAACACAGAGGTAGTCGTCAACAGAGTAAAGTCCGAGGCAGGCACGGTGAAAAGCTCTGTTCCACAAGGCACGTACTCGCTCCCATCTTGTTCCTCATCCTCATATCCGACATAGACAAGGATGTCAGCCACAGCACCGTGTCTTCCTTTGCAGATGACACCCGAATCTGCATGACAGTGTCTTCCATTGCAGACACTGCAAGGCTCCAGGCGGACATCAACCAAATTTTCAGTGGGCTGCAGAAAACAATATGAAGTTCAACGATGAGAAATTTCAATTACTCAGATATGGTAAACATGAGGAAATTAAATCTTCATCAGAGTACAAAACAAATTCTGGCCACAAAATAGAGCGAAACACCAACGTCAAAGACCTGGGAGTGATCATGTCGGAGGATCTCACCTTCAAGGACCATAACATTGTATCAATCGCATCTGCTAGAAAAATGACAGGATGGATAATGAGAACCTTCAAACTAGGGAGCCAAGCCCATGATGACACTCTTCAGGTCACTTGTTCTATCTAGGCTGGAATATTGCTGCACACTAACAGCACCTTTCAAGGCAGGTGAAATTGCCGACCTAGAAAATGTACAGAGAACTTTCACGGCGCGCATAACGGAGATAAAACACCTCAATTACTGGGAGCGCTTGAGGTTCCTAAACCTGTGTTCCCTGGAACGCAAGAGGGAGAGATACATGATTATATACACCTGGAAAATCCTAGAGGGACTAGTACCGAACTTGCACATGAAAATCACTCCCTACGA